GGGGTGCGCACCCCCCCCCCCCAGAAATGATTTGCACCCCCCCAAAGGCATGTGGCACCCCTGCAAATTACATATATTTTGATTTGATAGTTTCATATTTGATTATCCTTACTACTAAATTTGTAAAATTACCAATATTATAGTCTCAGATCTCGCCATGCAGGCCTAGAAAACAAATTTTGCTAAACTTTTTCCTTGGCCTTTCCAGGCGTTGCCACCACGCCCCGGCCAAAGCAAGCAGCAGCACCCCCCCCCAGATATTTATCCACCCCCCCGAACGAAAATATGAAAATCCGTCTCTGATTTGCATGCATGTTTCGAGAATGAGACACGAGAAAGCTGTAAAGGATTCTTTGTTCTCAACTCAACTTTTCCAGCTCATCGCGTACCGAACCAACCGTCTTCGGCGCTAATGTCTCGGACAATCTAGCATACGCAGTCTCGCCATAGGGTTTCCTTGAAGTCAAGACAGAAAAATCTACAGTATGCCTTCGGGTATCTTCGACTTCCATCGTGCAGTCCTCGTGTGATCTTCGTAGCGACGAAAACCGACCACATCTTAAATTAGTTGCGACAAAATTCGGGAAACTAACGCGTTTAGATTGTTTATTTCTTCTGTTGAAGCTTCTCGGTAGAGATCCAGTCGTTCGTCTACATTCTAAGCTATTCGAAGTAGACGTGACTTGGTCCGACAAGTTTGCATTTGAATTGTTATCTATAGTTTGGTCCGCGAGAGACGAGCCTGGATTTTCATATGCAAAAGATTTATCGTTGAAATTAGGTTTTTCTACCAAATATCCGTCGTCGTCATTATCTGAAGAGGTCGATGACGATAAAGATATACAATCCGACACAATGCTGTAGCGATGATGAAAATTCGCGCTGTCAGAATATTTTCGCAACGGTGTAAATGGTGCTCTGGGATTTCGTGTCTTTTGCACATGGCTATCACGCACCGTGCATTCATCATCCACGTGATCATTTCCAGAGGGCAATTCTTTGTCGCACTGCGTCTTTGAAGAATTTTTGCTCTCCTTTTCATCATCTGTACCACAATGTACCCCATCATCACATGATGTCCTAGTATTTTGTTCATCATCTGTACCACAATGCACCTCATCATCACATGATGTCCTAGTCTCTTTCGCATCATCTTGACCACGATGTACCTCATCACCACCTGTACCACCTATTACCACACTAGATCCAATCTCTTGCCTATCATTTTGAAAGACAGGTGAGGTATTATGATTCATATCAAGTCTGTCCTCGGGATCCATATTGGAGGTAGTACTAGAGTTATCTACAACTGGACTACAGCCATTACTGATATGAATGATTCTTGCCTTGTGAATATCTATCCTTGGTTTATGAATATCTACAGAATTCACCATTCCGTTTTCATTTCTTACTTCGCTATTTGTAACTTGGTTTACTTCGAAGTTGCTAGATGATGGACTGCTTGGGTGTGGCACTATTCCATTATTAAACCGAGTGTCGTTTGGCTTATGAACATCTACGCAGTGTACCAATCCATTGTCATTTCGTCCTTCGATATTTTGAAGTTGAATTTCTTCAAAACCTTTAGGAAGACTGCTTGGGCGTGACACTGTACCGTTCCTGACAGGCACGCTATCATGTGCTTGGACTATCACAGATTTGATGTCACCCTTTCCAACACCGCTTTCCATGCTATGTCTTTGCCTTGCTCTTTCAGCTTTCTCCTTTTTAATTTTCTCTTTATCCAACGAGTGTTTCTTCTGCAATTGCGAAGGTTTGTGGAAGTAGAACTCGCGTTCGAACGGCGGAGAAGAGGTCTGCTCCCCCCTGGCAACATCCCGGCGAAGGGAACCTCTGCTAGCTGGAATATCTATATGTAGTGGAGTTCCACGGGGGGGTGAGTGTTCTTCATCTTCGTAGGATCGTATCTGGCAACACTTGCCACAACAGAGCATACGGTATGCAAAGCCTTCCATGCGAGGGACTTCGTGGGATGTGCGTAAAAATATTCCTTGTCTTAATAAACTAGGATGGTAGTATCGATAGTACAATACCAGTGCTAAAACACCAATAAAATAGCCACCAAACACCATCCCCAGAGCTGCCACAAACACGACACCATACTCGTGACGATAAGGCAACCATGCGCCCATAAGAGCAGAATTCTCTACTCCCATTAAAACATAAAAAACTACCAACCGTTTTCTCGTGAAGCCATCCTTGACATTGAAAAAGCAAAATATATAAATAAAACCGATGACCACCGGATACATGAACTTTAAAATTCTATTATCAGAACAGAAGGTTGGTTTCAGGTATCGAATCCAAAGCGTCATGACGATCCAGTGTAAGCCAATGACGAGCAAAATCCAAGTTTTGTAGACGGATGCAAAGAGAACTAGCGTTACAATACGTGAAGCGACCATTGTAAGACGCCAAACTATCTGACAACCAAATGCCCACCACGTCATCTTGCCTAACACATTAAAATAATTGCAGTTTTTAACCGACTTGCTATGTCCTATGTGGAGGGATAGATCATAGTGGTTTGATTACAGTAATGCATTGAAGACTTTTTCCGAACTGATAGAAACTATCTGTCTTTTTTCCTTAGGTAGGACTATCAATCATGACCGGATTTTGTGGGGAGGTCGTCTCCTGAAAAGTCATGCATCTCCCCTTGGGAAAGTTTCAATGACAGGTAAAAAAAATTGACATCCTTTGTTGCTTAGGGTCTATACTTCGTAAGACAATATTTCTGTAAAATTGAAACAGTGATAGCCATTCATCTTTGTGTCCGGTTACCCTTTTAATGCAATGTTTTGAAAGAAACTTTGTAGTAATTGTAATGAAGGGCAAAATGGACCTTTCACCTTTTGACTAAAATTTAGATTTCAACAAGTTTAGACAAAAATTTTACCACAGCTTGAAAGAGCATCACAAAAATTAGTAATATTCCAGAGTTTCGTTGCGAAATGTTGTAAAATGCGGATAATATAGCCTTGCGAAGTTTGCAATTTTCAGTCATTTTGTATATTACAAACGGGAAATACATACCCCTTTTTCCGAAGGAGGTATGTATTTCCCGCGCGTAATACAAAATGACTGAAAATGGCAAACTTCGCAAGACTATATTATCCGCATTTTACAACATTTCGGAATGAAACTTTGGAATGTTACTAATTTTGTGATGCTCTTTCAAGCTGTGGTAAAATTTTTGTCTAGACTTGTTGAAATCTAAATTTTAGTCAAAAGGTGAAAGGTCCAATAGATGAGTTGTACATTCATAACTCATTAATACACTGATACATATATGTACACTATATGCATTGTCACGTAACACACGTTGTTAACTTTCTAAGTTCTAAGTCTAACTGGGGGTCGTGAGCTAGTCCGCTGCACCTCCGTTAATTTTTTTCCACCTCCCCCACTATTTCCACCAAAATCCAGCTTTGCTATCAATGTACAGACAGAGTAAAATAATAAAGTATAGGGAGATTTAGGGTGCAATGGAGCACTAGGGGATCCTAGGGTGCAATGCAGCATGTTTCATGCACATGGAGTACATTTCAAAAACAAATTTTGAGAACATAACTACCGGTACTTTAGCAATTATTGACTGATATCAAGCAATGCCAGTATCAGGAGTTGTCAAGACTGACATAAAGACAAAAAATATTCACTATACAGTCGAACCTCTATTAAGCGGCCCTCCATTAAGCAGCCACATATCGAAGTCCCGAAATTTTTGTAATACAAATACTATAAACTATCCCTCTATTAAACGGCCACCTCTATTAAATGGCCACCTCTATTAAGTGGCCGCGGCCACCCAAGCAGTCCCAAATGATGTTTCATGTCAATTTTTACCTCTATTATTAAGCGGCCAGCCTGCAGGATTTACTTTGCGCCACACCTTGTCATGAGAGCCGAAAATAAAAGTCGAGCTAATTTACTTTATTTGTAAAATAAGGCATAAAAATTATGTTTTAACACATTTACACCTCAAAAGCTTTACACCTCAAAAGCATCGACTACACCCAGGGTTTATTATTTGCGTACCTCTATTTAGTGGCCACCTCTATTAGCGGCCACCTCTATTAAGCGGCCACAAAGCCGATCCCCGAGGGTGGCCGCTTAATAGAGGTTCGACTGTATATTCAAAACAAAGTAAACAAAAATTTGTGAAAATTTAAAATTTTTCAATATTTAGTTGATGTAAATGACAATCGTGACTGACACAGGGTAACTTTTCTGGGCGTGTTAACGGCCAGGTGCTTGGTTTTTTACTATTCTGAAACTGTTTGTCAGAAATGACCTGAGCGCAGCCGGCCATGCTCAGAAGCCTGTGCTGAGCAACAACGAAAAACAAATGCATGAATTTTTTTTAATAAAATGAGTAGTACCTTTGTCATTGGATGCATCTCGGAGTGCCTTGGAATAAAATACGATTGATGATGCCAATGATATCAATGAAAAACAAGCCGAACATACAGTCAGCCAATCTTTTTCTTTGTCAAAATGTCTGTTATACGCTAGGATATACAACTGTAGTACAAGCTGCGGAGCTGACTCGATGAAGACTTCAAATAACCGCAGCATTGTGATATCACGCCATTGTTCCATGTATATATTGTAGTATTTTCCATCTGCATCTTCCTTACTGCTATGTTTGCCATTCTTGTAGCAATCCCAGTACCTGGAATATTTGAACACACTATGAAATGGATATTTGTTTAATTGGCAATGTATCCAGTACCTAATAAAGCGTTTGCACATGACATCATTTTGGTGTTCCAATTCAAAAGAATTTTAATTAGACTCTCTTGTCTGGAACACCAACATGGCCGCCATCGCTTTTGTTGAGTTACTCCCTGGGGAATAAGGGCAAATGCTCTATTCTCAGACCTGGCATCATTGCTTCACATAATGAGTAACAGAGTAAGCTATTTTGGCCCCCATTGTGCATGCCTATACTAAGATTTTAATTAATCAACATTAACAATTTCCTGAGCAGTTGCAAACAAAGATGACACTTCTTTGTATCAAATACTTCCAAATTACTTCGTTCAACAGTGCAGTAAAAATTAGTTTGCCCCATATGGTGTGCAATTCTTTTAAACCATTAATATTCAAAAACCTCCCTAGGACAAGCATAGCAACACTCTTGAGTATTAGACAAACAAAGGTCATTAATTAGGGTACAGCGAAGCTTGATGGGCTAATTAATTAAGTCTACCTTTGACATGAATAATCATGTGATTTTAGATGGTGGAATCATTTGATTTTTTTACATTATACACATTATTGTCTTGGGCAGCGTACTTGTGCTATTTTTGAGCTTGAAAATAAATAGCAAATATTTCATTTGGTTTTGGTGATATCTGAAATTGTCATATAGTAATAGTAATACATAATTTATATGTATACACATATAAATTCTGAACCATATATACAAAATCGTTCAGTTCTATTTGTTCGCATGAGAACTTGTGTGGTTAGAAGTCTAAGGGCAAAATTGTGCAACTTTAAGGCAGTTCAGAATTCATCTGTGAAATATCAGCCTTGGGCTAAAAGAGTCACCTTGACCTTCATTTTATCAGTTGCAACTCCATATCCATAATTATCAACATTTTCAAGAGTATGCAAAGTGCTCTTGATGTCAGAAATGACAAAGATACTTGTCTACAGACTTCTATAAACAACATTTTAAAAAGTGTTAAATGTTGATAATAAAGCTTACTAAGCAAATATATAAGGTAATTTAATTACCTAATATATTTGCCGAGTAAGCTTTATTAAAGTTTACAGTATTAAATTTGGGTTCAATCAAAATCTGTTATTTTTGTTATAAAATATTTTGTTGTATATGGTATGTAATTATTAGCAAGTCTGTTATATATATAAAATAAGAAATAAGAAACATATAAAACGCATGAATACCTCTTTATTGGCCCGAGTTGTAACACATGCAAAACAACTGTTTTTGATTTGCTCACTTCTTCGGCAGTATCTTCGTAAAACCACTTTAGGGAAAACATCATCATGACCAACGAAGCACCGAACACACAAAAAAGCGTCAGGGAGAACCAAACGTAGTCTCCATTGCGGAAATATTTCACAGAAACCAACATGTCCGTGACGACGTCTCCAATATAGAAGACTATACCAGAACCTATGTATAAATAATCCAACCAACTAAACCAAGCCGCTTTTAACGAAGGGTTTTTCGTCGAAAGCCTGTCCCTCCTCGGCTCAGCGTCTGTTGAATCAAAGCCTATGTCTCTAGAGGCATTTGTTACCAATTTTTCCGACATTTTAACTGCTTTTCAAAAGAGCTGTCATCGCAAAATGTGAAGGATGTTTTTGTTTTGCAACTCGTTGAACCTGAACGCGTGGGAGACATTCCATTTTTGATTATGCAAAGTACGGAAAATGTTCGCGTCAGTTTTTGCCATTTAAAAAATTGTTTTTTTATATTGAAATTTTTTAATACAAAAATTAAGTATGGAAAATGAACGAGCGTCTTTCCATACATTGAAACAGTAGTTCTTAGTTTAGGATTCAAAATGAATGGTAACAGTTTAAAAAACACAATAAAACTTCGACTTTATGAATCATAAAAATTTCGCCTGAAAAGCGCAAAAAGCCTGCTGTGCCAAAAATACCGGATATGGTCCCCAGGCAGAAACAATATGGAGGCACAATATATTTTTGATTTCGAGCTAATATTTGATAAGTGAAGGTCGAAATGCCTCCAAAAAAGGCAGTTCCCGCTTCAAAAGCACCTAAAAAGGCCACAGCAAAAGCTGTCTCTAATATAAAATCGGTTTCGCCGACTAAATCCCGTTCGACGGGGAAAGGGGCTGCCAAAGGTCCCAGCAAGGGCTCCAAGCCCGTTGCAGGGGCATCGAGCAGCAAGCCTACCGGGAAAGCAAAATCAGGAAAAACAGAGGTATTTTATGTGGGGTATTTTATGTGTATGTGCAAAATGAAGTGTATTTGGCTTTGATATTTATTCAATATATAGGTTAACATTTGTTTACTTTGGTTGCCATGGTAATGTCTGGGGTATGCAATATTGCAATGGTACCATGTGTCACGTACAGCTTTTTTATCTGGAAAACAAATATATGCAGCAAATATATGTTTCTTTCTTTACAAAGAAATCTGTGCAGTGTTTAATGTTCATTGTACATGTCACTGAACATTAAACCAATTATAAATATCTTTAATCAACCCCTATGAAACATCACTATATAGGTATTCCTGTAGGAATCTGAATTCCTAATAGTAAATTCTGATAAGAATTCTTTTAGCAAATTTCCTAAAGGGATTCCTACAGGAATAGTCTGAGATTCCTATAGGATCACATATAGAGGATTAATTTCTATAGAATTATTTGTAAGAGAATTTCTAACAAAATATATGCTTTTATGAACAGAATCTACCTTTTACTGACTAATCCAACCCTTCCCGCTATCCATTAGCATTGAAGCAACAACTGGACTGGTGATTTTTCAACCAATGTAAAAATGCTTTAAATCTACCTACAGATATGGACCTATTAATGAAAATAAACTTTAATTTACAAATGCTAATTTTTTATCTGGGTCATTCCAATTAATGGATAAACTTGGAAAGCTTGAAAAATCACTATATCCAATGGATAGCATTATCTGGTCTTTGCCGTACAACCGACCCTAGGTCAATATTAAGACCGTAATCCCAATCAACAGGAGAAAAAATGGAGCAAACAAGATGATCAAGCTAGAATAATTCAAACAGCAGCAAGAAAATATCTTGCAAGAAAGAAATTGGAGAAATTGAAAAAAGAAAAACAAGATTATGAAGAAATGATGGTGAAGTTGGAAAAAGAGGTACATACAATGCTTGCAGAATCATCCTCAGAGACTATCAGGGTTGCTAAGAGGGGGAGAGCAGGGGGGCACTTTGTGGTGGGCCCCAACTCAAAAGAGGTACATACAGTGCTTACAGAGTCATCCTCAGATCGAGATATGAAAAGCTAAGCCATGATCATTATTAGTGCAGAAAACAATGAAAAATTTGATTTCTGTAAGTTCCTCCAGATCTCTCGATTTGAATACGAGCTGCCTGTTTGCTTATGGCTAAGAAAATCAGTTTAAAATTGAAATTTTTGGCATGTTTCACTTCTCATTAGTTAATTAGTATTTTTCTATTTCATATTTGAAATTAGCGGGTTTTGCAGACTTAAAAAGAGTTTCATAATCGCTTTTAGCGTCTCTATCACACAATAAGAAACACGTTAACAAAAAATTACTGAATTATTAAAATCGTAGACATTACTAAAATCATAGTCTAGACTGTAGTACTCTAGCGCGAACTCTAGTGTACGAAATTTACCATATGACTATCAAATGGAACACCATCCATAAACACGAGTTTTGCAAACTAACGTTAAATTCTTATTCGCTTCCGAAAAGTCGGAAAATTTGGAAGAAAGCTCACAACTACGTCTACAACACATATTTAGTGCAATTATATTCCGACTTTTCGCAAGGCTGTGAAAATACTAATAATTATAGTGTATACATCATACTACCATACTAACAGGTGATGAAGATATAAATTTCCGTTGTTGTCTTTGAGTGTGTCAACACGACAACACCAGGCTGAAACGTTTGCTTGATCGCGGTGGGAATCAAACCCACGACCTTTGGTTTGCCAGTCGCGGGTTCGATTCCCACCGCTGTCAAGCAACCGTTTCAACTCGCCCGGCGTGGACGCACTCAGAGACAACATCGCAAGGTTATAAACTACTAACAATCTGAGATCAAGGTTTTATTTCACAAATGGATTTAGTCAAATATCTAATCAAAGTCTCCCGGAAGAAATGTACTAAATGTCAATTCAGCACTGCTACCTTGCTATAAGTGGAATCCAAATGAATTGAGCAAGTCGTTGCACAATGAAAATCGAAGAAAGAGGAAAAACACTTCTTTCCAGTTGTCAAGCAAGTCTACAGCATACTGCTGACACTCGCCAAGATTCGTCTTGATCAATTCAAATGCAGCCGTTCTTTGCGAATTAACGGTGGAGAAAATCTCGCTGATCATTCCTTCGACAATAGGGCGAATGATTGGAATCCAACCTCGCAGCACATCACATGGATTCGCTAGAAACTGCGGGAGAAGATTCGGGAACATGATAGATACAATTGGGGTTCCTTGTTGGAGTATTTGCTCGGCGATATCTCGTTCTGTCGTGTATAAAATGAACTGCATTTCTCGAGTGAGCGTATCACACCAGCTCTCAAAAAGAGGCCCTATGGTCAGAGTATCGATAACACGTGGGGCTGCATGCTGACGATTTTCATTTGAACGAAATACCGGAAAACTGCCACTTCCGCGAAGATGATATTTTTCAAGACAAACAGCATCGGCAAATACATCTCGTTGCTCTATTTTCTCAAATTTTCCACGGCAGCTAGCCAGTTTCCCAAGAGCATCATCGATACACACCCACATTTCGTCATTGCAATCTTTGACGTGTAGGCACTCCGCTTCAGAGAGCTTGAAGATCGCTCGAAAAGCATCGATAAACATTCGAGCCTTCTCTGCTTTAATCTTTCCAAAGTGGAAGTTGTCACCGCACAGTTCCAGCGCTTTTGTGATCAGACGCGAAGAAGCCAAGCGAAATATACGTAGAGCATCGTCCACACGCCCCGTATTGCGGTAGAGAAGACCAAGAAACAACGCGGCCAAAACAATACCTTGAGCCATAGTAGAAGACCAAACGTCCTGTCCAATGGGGCATCGAAAGCGCAGAAAAAGTTCCAAAAGTTTCTCAAATTGTTTGATCATTTCTTGCTCGTTCTCAGCGCCTACCGAAAACACCATGTATGCATGATAGAATATGCGCATGAAATCACCATTTTTTACGTAATGCCTTGCTTTGCGCATGGCAAGTTCGACGCTAGGATCATTGTACGTCCCAAGCATCATGTGACAGCTTCCCAACATAAACAAGGTTGCAGTTTCAAAGAGACTTATTACGCTTCCCTTTGACTGCATGACGGTGTCATACAAAATTTGAGCAGTGTAAAACTCATGCAAACCTTCATTGTAGCTTCCCTGACGAAATTTCAGAAAGCCTGAAATTAGCATATTGTACGCACGCACAGTTAGTTCCGTTATAGAATTGGGAGCGAAATTCTCCGATTCGCTAGCTTCGAGGGCGGCATTCAAGAATGTTTCAATGTTTGTGACATTATCTTGATGGAAAGACGCCAAGGCAGCGATCAAATATGTAATGATTTTCCACTCGCTGTTGTCACCATCTCCCATGGACATCAAAATTTTCTCGCAATATTGTGAGGTGTAATCTGGGTGGAGACTGGCCAAATACGCCAGGCACAGTCGCTTTAAATCTTCATCTGCAGTACTTTCATAAGCTTGCGCAAATCTCTGTATCATGTCGTTGAAAAATTGGTAGGATGTGAAGGAGAGAGCGACAGCGGAATTGAAATGGGAGTACTCGTAAAACTTTTCACTTGACACGAATTGAATGGTAGCGGTCTCGTGTGCTTGAAGCTTGAGCAGAATTTTCTTTACACGTTTCTGAAATGGAAATACTGAATAGAAGAACCGAATACACAAGTCTCTAATCAGTTCAAAATTAATGTCAGTAGATTGATCGAAGAAGGAAAAGATCTCGTCTTGTCGGCCACATCGTAGGTAAGCCATTAACCGAACTTCGTTCACAATACTAACAACGACAGACAAATTGCGGTGAGAGTCGGCTGAAATGATATCATCTTCAAGCAGGCGATCTAAGATGCTCCACGGAGAATTGTCAATCACACTAGAATCATGAAATTTACCAATGTTAGTTATCAGCATTCCAACAGCACGGTATAGTTTCTTCTTGATCGACGAAATCAGCCCGATATCTTGGGACGTCAACGAGAACTGGAATTGGTCGATCGCATTTTGAAGACAGACGATGGCTGACGACTGGCGAGGGTTAAAATCCGAAGCATCGTCGGAGATGTTCGTCATAGAAAGAACAATGGCATCATAGGTATCAACTAGTCCTGAGTCGTTGCCATAAAGAAAGGACACATTACTCAGAACGGTGGATAAATCATTATTATTTCCTACGGGAGAACCATCAAATTTCAGCGCAGACACATAGAGTTCGGCTAGTTCTGTTGGTGTTTTTATAAGATCTTTATTTTGTCCCCTTCCTAGTACCAGACGACCCAGAGGAGTTTTGCAAGCCTTGCTCATTCTACCGTCCACAGAAAAACCACACATTTCGTCATCGTAAAATCCTTTTCCAAGAAATGGCCATTCTGTTGCGTCACCTCCACATTCCTGATTCGTGCATGAACCGCTTGAACACTTGTACCTTTGCAGAGAATTTGTTAAATTATTTGCATCGTTCAAGGAAGGAATACACATCGAGGGCAAAATTGTTTCCTGTAAATTCAACACCTTGTAATTGAAATATTCCATTAATTGCATAAAGTACTTTTTGACAGACGCGTCATTCTTGCCGTCTTCGATCAATAAAGCAGATTCCAAATCACTAAACGGTGTTGCCTCTCTTCTTGCAAAAGATCCGAATCCGATAAAAGCGTAGTTGACGTCCTGAGGAGGTTGTCCGAGTACTTGTATACATTCGTCCAACAATAGGGCGACGGCGTCTTTCATAAACTCTCGGATTTCAGTGAAAATCTCTCGTATTGCTTTTGCGCGTCTGGCTTCGCTGTCAGCATCTCTGTCGTGTAGTGGAGAGGTAAACACGCTATAATTACTTTGAACAGACTTCAATTTATCGCTGCATTGCTGTCTGAATTCTTTCAATTTGCTCTTGTGGTTTCTATCGATATCGTGTTGAAATTCGCTCGCGTTTATGGCCTGACCACACTGGGAAATTATGTCTTCTTCAATTCGACGTAGCTTCGCTTCTAAGTCGTTTTTCTTCGTAGAATCGTTGCTGCGAATCAAGCTGGAATTGTAAAGAGCAGTGGCAAGAACGAACTGGTCCAAGCGAGCAAATGGTGTGTCGGAGTTGTCTTCGAGTAATGCGCGAGCGTTGTAAACATCGCCAAGCTTTTCCAACGCGATTGCCTCGTCGCCTTTATTCTCATCATCATGAGCTATCTTCAATGCTTTCGCGATTTCCAGCTCACGATGCCAGCTCGTTACTGAATGAATATCTGCTTTCTCTAACTGAGCCGTAAACGAAGCGTTTGTCGACGTTGACATGATGAAATAGCGAATGTAACCAAAGTGAAATACTTTGAGCTGGATTATATAGGCCAAACTCCGGCAGCTTTACCAGGAAAACAGGAAATTGCAAACAATAGCGCTTTTTCTCAGAGATGTGAATAGAAAGAATCATAGTTTATGAAGCTACTAATATCTAAGCTTGCTTAAATAAACTTGCTGGTATTTTTTGGTAATTCGGATTGGAGCATTAGTAGTGACATTACATTCAATGGCGTCCATGGCAATATTTAGTGGGAGATATCGATGTTATGAGCAAAGGGTCAAAGGTCCTTTGTCTAGCTATCTTGAATGAGGGAATGGGAATTCCCCAGAATTTGTCTTCCCCGGAATCCGGATATGGATTCCGGGAATCTGGATTCCCCGTTTCTCAGATAAAATGAAATATTATGGCTTCAATTGTTACGAAATAAATTTACAGTAACAATGGCAATTGAACTTAGTGAAGCGTAATCTGGTCTAAAACGTTAATCGCAAATTTGATATCAGATCAAAATTGCACGACAGATATAAACTGTAACTTGAATTCATTTCATAACAATTCTTTATCTGAAAAACGTGGATTCTCGGATTTCCCAATTCCCGGATTTCCCGATTCCTGGATTCTCCATTCTTTAAAGATAGCCGTTATTCTATTGTAAAACATGGTGATTCATATTCAAGTACCACTCACAACTCCCAAGATATGAATAAATCCATCGTTTCATTTACGGTAATTTGACTTTCTCTCCCGAAGGCATGGATGCAAATGGTTGAACGCGAGCGAGAGCAGGAGGAGAAGGAACGACAGAAAGAACAAGAAGAAAGAAAAAAGAAAGCTCAAGAAATGAAATGGAGGAAACGCATGTTGGAAGCTGCTTTTGACGGTGATGATGATGAAATTAACTCTGTCTTAAGTGAGGTGAACAAACAGTATTCCCAAATTTTAAGAATGAAGATGAGACTGCGTGAGACTGTGAGAGTTTGCAATCACGCGAACTTGGTTAGCTGTTCTTAATACTTCCCAACACTATCATGTATTCTATTTAAGTTAAAACATAGTTGGAACACTCATCAAGCCTTTATTTTGTTAATCTAGAGCCTGACTGCCAACTCTCACTATCAACTCTTATGCTCGTTGAGTAACGTATTGAGTAGCGAAATAGTTTTCTGACTTCGCTCTGAACTGAAATTATTACGAATTTGCTTTGCAATGAATTTCACAAACTGACTAACATGCATTTACTAGCTTTGAAGTGTCAATGCAAACTCATTAGCCATTCTTTAAACATATGATCGAGATTACTGTATATCTTTTTAAGGCTTTAACGAATGACAAAAAGCAAGAAAACATATCAGAAGCCGTGAGAGAACTACATATTAAAAAACATCAGTTGAGTCTGGCTGACTGTGAAGACGCGAACGGTAATACCCCGCTATCAGAAGCCTCAGCCGGAGGGTATGTAAATACGATACAACTGCTTCTTCAGAAAGGTGCCGAGATCAATTCTAGAGGACGTTACGAGCGTACACCGCTATGGAGAGCTGCGTTTGCCGGGCATTTACAAGCAGTTCAGGTATATACAGTTCACTAACTAAATTTTCCTTTCTAACAATCGTCCCTCTTTTTTTCTATCCTGACTATTTTTATACGAATGATGGTATTTGTTAGGTGTTATTGGAGAATGGGGCAGATCCTCGACTACACGCAAACGATGGAACATCACCTCAACAAGTATGTTATAAAATGAGTCAGCTCGGAATTTCATCTGCGCTGATAGAGGTGACGTGTTCTGCAGAAGTCTACAGTATTTAAGATTATCATGCAAATTATTCACTACTTCTAAATCAGTCAATTGCGTTTTACATATTGCCAGTTGCCACACTATTATATGCAAACATTTGCTGCACCGTCGTCCTTTATATATTCTGCTATTCTACGCGTGTTCTTGCAGGTTGCAGCGATAGCAGGGGTAGAAGAAGTTCTGAAATCTTGGAATATTGAACAAACTGATGAATTATTGAAAAAGATCGAAGAAAATAAAGAAAGAAAACTTAAGGAAGAGGAAAAACAACAAAAACAGGAATGTGATAGGTATATGTAGAGTAGATATAGTGTTTCAAGTCAAACGACTGAAAATTTACACCAGCTCAATTTACAGTCATGTAAATATTTTTCCTTTTAAGGTTGGAAAAGAAACAACACGAAGCCGAGAAAGAGGGCAAAGCCTGTCAAATGCGGGTTAGAGTGGAATACATCATAACTGATTATCAAAAATGCTTGTGATAGGCTCGAAAATTAGCTCTATAAACTCGTTGATGTATCTTTTTACAGCTAGAGAAAGCACACTGCGAGTTAAACAAACGAATATTTGAACACGATAAATGTGTTGCAATGGGAGATGAAAACAAAATCAAAATAACATTACAGGTATTTAATATGCGATGGCCAACAAAATTACTGAATTTTAAATAATACCTCTCTTGCGGCTATGACTACAATTCTACATTCATTTTTTCATTTTCGATACGTTTCTCAATCGGGAAACGAACTTAAAAAGTACGTTTAGTGCTTTATCTGTAAAATAATGCTAATGAAGAGATCATTTAGATGGTACGCCAAAGAGAAAATGATGTCTGACGTTCAGTACGTTTTGCTTATATTGCTGTAAAAATGGCGTCACTTTTAAAGCTGTTTTTTTTAAATGTTTTCCTATTATTTACCCAACTCATTGTGTATTTCTTGCCCATTTTTTCACAGACAGTTCATGATGCTGAAACGGAATTAGAAACAGCCAAACATAGCAGTAAGATAGCACATGATAAACTCGCACAGGTATAACCCATTGCCATTGACACTCGACTATAGTAGACGGAGAACAGATTTCCACTTTTGACACTCATGTTGTTCATTTGCAGCTGAAATTAAGATTCAGAGAGCAGAGAAAAGAAAGGGCTGGTGGTCCCGGTGAGATTGCTATAACTTTCTAAGTACTTCATGTTAATGCATGTGTATCATAATATTAAAATAGGCCACGTAAATACACTGTGTCTTTCCCGTAGGTGAGGATGTGAAGGAGCAAGTAGGAGTAAAGGTGTCCATAAAGGAACTTGATGATGTTCTTATGAGGGACGTTGGTGGTAAAATTGCTGAAAGTGGCAGGTATAATGCTCTTGGGAAATCACATGCAAAGGACCCAGTCTTCAAAATTGCGACAAAATTGTCTCCAAAATCAGTGTGTGGTTGTGGGAATTTTTCGTATTTTTCGAACTGCATGTCGGACCTTCATTTCTTCATCACACAATGTACATGACTTCAGCATGTATAATTTTCAGAAACGTATTAGTATTTCATGAGTATAATTTTAGCCTATCAAATCAATCATAACATGTCAGTAGCTTTATACCTGTTACAATACTCCCTTATAAGTATTTTTCTACAGGGTGTAACTGAGACGTTTTTCAACTGAAAGTTTTGTTCCGATATTTCAGATGGCCTCTGATAATCGACACCTCGTCGCAAACATCAACATTTCTGCGTTATCGCGATACCAACTTTCTTAATGCTTTGAATCCAAGCAATATGGAACCTGATGCTATACGTCTTGCAATCTTAGGTGCAATACGGTAAGTTAAGAGTGATCTATACAACTGAGCTACAGAGGCCAGTTGTCGAACTCTAATAACCACACGTTCACGCATATATACCAATATAGACAGGTTAGGTCTAATAAATGTTTAAAAATTCACACTCGGAAATTTCCATCAATAAAACCCTTCCACAATTAGTGTGATGACCAAGGTCCTGGTATTCACCAATGCACCTGTTTTGATTAACCCTGTTTAGTTTTGGTAAACCATTGGTTCTAGACATGATGGCTGTTGATATGTTTGAAAGCGTCAGGATGAAATTCGACATCGTTCAAGAAGGATTGTTAAGCACAATTATGACAAAAGAAATTCTTAAAGATGACAGGTAAGTTCCAAATGAAGCCAAAAGACCGATTTACACTTTTGCCTAAAACTGTCGCATGCAACCTGCTTACAACTTGAGTTGTACTGTGTAAATCAAGCGCACAACTCGTCTATACGACAACATTCCCATCATGCACCGTTATTGTTTTTTCAATCTTCATTCAGGGACTGGGTACGAGTCAGGCCCTGACCTCAGTAGTGGTAACTGTATGCATGATCTACTTGGTTATCAACGTATTTTGTTCAGGTTTCTCTCACTCGTTAAACCAGAAGACGGAGAGCAGTATAGCAAGACAGCATTCCTGGGAGCAAGAATAGAAAATTTTAAATTTATAATCTTAACCCAACTGTGGAACTCCAGTGAAGATTTGATCAATCAAACATATCCTTTGCGGGTTATGATACCTTCGAAAAGTTTCTAGAAATTTAAACCTTAGGTCATAGTATAGTTTTATATATTTATATTATATATTTTATACTATTATATGATTATATCAACGATAAAAGTTATGATGAAAAAGTAATGATTATCACTAAAAATGTAGCGATGAATTCTTCAAGTGGATGTAAAAGGTGCATGCTAATATCTGTGTAAATATGCAGTTTAAAGGGCTTTGCAATTTTATTGTGGGAGTGTTATTATTTCAATATGCACAACATATTCAGATATGTGCTACTCTGGGTTATTTTTCTCTTTATGCGACGATTCTTTGTCCGTCGTTTTCCCAAAATCATTGGCGCTGAACACGCCGAAGAGACAGCCAGCCAAGACCACCGGACTTTTATGCCCTGCTTCCAGAGCGCTTCTTGTGGCCGCGACTCGCGTCATGGTGGCCTGGAGCTGAGCGTTAGACTGCTGTCGCTGACCAGTTTTGCAGTAGTACGCAAAATCTTCACAATTGTTGCCCAAAATTTGGTACTCTCCAAAACCGCTTGTCAGACATTCCGATGCTCGTTCCAGGACTTTGTCCTCGCTTTCGCATTCCTGCGCACAATAGGTCCCAGGCCACTGGAGGTTATCCGCGTCGTCCGAGACGCCATATTTGTACACGCCAAAAGGGTAATCTTTAATGAAGTCTCCAACGGGTATCTGCTGTACAAGACCATTGCTGTCGCAGTTACCATCCAAATGACTTGTAAAATGAGTGACTGTGTTTTCCCCGTCTACAATACCTAAGAATGAACACAGTCTGGTCACAGATAAATATGTAATTATCTAAATATTTTAATGATTTGATAGCTTTAAAAGTACAGATATCTTCGTAACGGCTTTATAAGTTTATTCCTGTTTTACGAAAGGAGAAAATTTAAACTACCTTTATTTATAATAGATAGTGGCCAAATGTTTCTTCACATAGATCCGAAACAAGAGCATTCGTTTATCGCTCCAGGTGCTATTACAAGAGCTAATGTGCTATTGACTAAGTAGAGCCAAACGGTTCAATGCCTTCTCTTATTAGCCAGTATAAAACAAGCTGCGGTGTTCGGTAGAGCACAAGCTCTTGACACATCATATTCAGACAATTGCATATTGCATGCAGAATTCAGAATAGTGCCATTGACATTGTGCAAAAAACTCCATGAAAATGAGAATTTTCCATTATAGAAAACATGAAATTTGAGTGTTTGTGACATTATAATGTAAAATCATATATTCTTACCGTGATGTAAATGGCTGATGCTTTGCATCGCAAAGACATGATCGCCCAAAGCAAATTTCGGCACATTTTCTTCCATTTTGCGATGACAAATCATTCTTTAGCAACTCATGTCCTTTATATATCAAACATCAGAGATTCTATACAACAAGTTTTCCAATGCGAACAACAAATTACAGACAGACCCAAAACCAATACAAGCGAATATTATTTACAAAATGTAGGTTTTATCCAATTACGGACGAAACGCGGTTTGCCAGACGGAAACATGGTTGGCGTGAATTATTAATCGGCTACCTGTAAATATTAAAAATAGTCTTGTTCGATATGAATTCAAAATTTTCAAATCTGCTGTTAGTGTTTTTCCGACAATGGAACGTGGTTAAAACCTTTATTTAAACAGGGTAACCCTGTCAGAGACAGAAGCCAAACTTTCAAGATAGCTTTACTGACCTCGGTTCACATCTTTTTCGTCCTTTGGGGGTCCTTAGGGGCTAATCATGAGTGCAGGTATCCAAGCTGGCCCGCTTTTGGCTGGATCCTGCCTTTGTTATTATTTCCTACTAAATTTTATTTTGCGTTTATGGGAACCGAGCTGCCCACCAAAACGAGATGCCGCCTCGATCCTAACCCGCCGGACTCGACCCGAGATCTTACTCTGAACATAGCTCTGAAGTCGGGCTGGAATGCAATTACCCAAGCTGGCTTGCCTACGCGGGTTGAGCTGTACAGTATATTGATGCTGACTGTTTGACAAATATGTTGTAAATGACATTTTCCCGGCGGATTAAAAGGTCCTGTCAGTTATCGTTTCTGTGAGAAAACTGCCTGCGAAGTATAATTTCAGGTTGCATGGGTGCTTTGTTTTAGCGAACCAGCCCGTGGTGAAGTTCCTCTCGGGAAAGCGAGCCAGCCCGGTTGGCCCCCAGCTTAATTTTATTGCTGTAACCAACCAGGCAACCAGTACAAAACCAGTTAATAAAGATTGGTGCAAGCGACCCCAAAATCCCCAATGATGAGAAATGTTTTGAGGTCAAAGTTGCATGGAAACTTGACTCAGTGTAGGTAACTTAGAAATTAAGAGAGTTGAAATGACAAAATCATTGGGCCTAATGATAGACGAGTCTTTAGACTGGACCGCGCAGGTCGAACACATTTCAAAAAAGGTCACTTCAGGCCTTGCTATTCTCAGACGACTCCGGGATACAGTCGAATTCAATACCTTAATAACAATATACCAATCCATAATTCAACCTTATTTCGATTATTGTGCTCAAGTGTGGGGTTGCTTAGGGAAAACATTAGCAGCTAAAGTCCAAAAATTACAAAACAGAGCGTTTCGAATAATCACTCGTGAGAATTATACGACACGATCGGCTGATATATTAAACAAGCTAAAAGTTCCGAACCTCGAAAAAAGAAGAATGCAACAACTTTCAATTCTCATGTACAAGGTGAAAAACAAATTGGTCCCCGATTACTTGTGTGATATGTTCACAAATGTTAGTGATGTACACGACCATAACACAAGACAGTCGGGAGCCGATTTGACATTGCCTAAATCAAAAACAAATAGTATGAAAAATGCACTCTCCTACAGAGGTGCGGAAGTCTGGAACTGCCTTCCTGCATTGGTAAAAGCATCAACAACTATTGCTAATTTTAAATCTAACTTGAAGCATGCAAATTAACATCAAGTGATCCTGCCATTGTTTCCATCTACCTAAAATAATTTTCTTGTAATAATTTCTTATTTCTGTTTGTGTGAGCACAGTCGGTTGGAAGATCATCTTTTTTCTTTTTATATCTTGTACATAATTAATTTTAGTATGGTGAAATTGTACCGTGTTGAAATATAGTTCATAATAATAATAATAATAATAATAACTGTTATTATCATCATAAATGGGAGTATATATCCGTTAAGTGTAAGATGATACCAAATAAATGGGGAGTATATATCCGTAAGTGTAAGATGATACTACATAAATGGAAGTAACGAACAATAGACAGTGAAGAGAAACACAGCAAAGCGAAACTGCGAAAGACGGCTAAATATTCGCCAACCTGAAGCATTAACATCGCTAGAAGCCTGAAGGAGGTAAATTTATTGAAAATGCTGTATACTCCTGCCTTGCGTGCTCGCAAAGGGACCATTGCGTTTGCAGCGGCAACATACACTAATTATACGTTTTCATACATAATGTATATGTAGGTATTCAATGTACCAATATTGGTATTTGTTTGAATAAAGTTTCTTCTTCTACACAACGTTACCAACACAACGTGTCAAAGGATATAAAAGCTTATATATAAATGTACCAATTTTCACTTGACAGTACTTATTTTAAACTGTATATCACAGAGCCAAAAACAAATTTCTCAAGAAGGGTTCTCAAACATCACGTTGTGATACAGTGATTAAGCCGGAGTGGTCTGTGCTAGTATGCCAATAATAACTTAGTGCCGTAGTAAATAACAATATTAACAAGCTTTCCTTGGTAGCCTAGGGATGCAACTACCTGAAAAACATAAAAAATTCGACGTCCCTTCAACGTCGAATTTCTCCTTATATTTTTCAGGTATTTGAATCCCTACCAATGAAAGCTAGTGATATTAAGCGAAGCCTTCCGGCTTCTGAGAATCTTCTATCCGGCTCCGAGAACTGTTCAATATTTTGGTATTATGTTACTGTAGGAATGGAATGTTTAGAAATGTTAATGATACTTGGATGTAAGCATAAAGAAATTGCAGTACAGTTAGTACATTCTCCTTATATATGTTTTAGGGACAGCCGCAATACAATAGGAAGGGCTAAAGGACACTGGCAATGAATTTAAGTTCAACTTGTCGGAAAAAAATTTTAAATGTAAGTTTACTTTACGTATATAATGATTATTAATCCTGAGGATGACTACAAACTAGTCGAAAAGTCGATTAAAAAATTTACGTATATACTGTTTGTATTTATGAAACGTCTGATGAATAAGCCCTTCCAAGGTATTTTCCTCTGATTTTGAATATAATGTTTTCACCACTTTACTTGTATTAAAAATAAAATTTGCGCAGTACTAGAATTCGCGCAGCGCTGGGTGTGCACATTTTAGTACTGCGCGAAATATAATCCGCGCTTTGTGGTGTAATATGAGACACTCATTGTTACACATTTGACATATGTTTCAAGTTGTGCTGGTAACATAAAAATAAAAAATGTCTTCATCCTGGACAATTTCAGTCGGGATATTCTCAGGTTCCAAGTAGTATTCCGTCACGAATGCCTACATTTTGCTGTAGATCCTCAAACTTGCATTGGACAACTAAAATTTTAGTTGACTTATATAAAGTATAGTCAGTATAATGTTAGGCAATACCATTTATGAACCTATAAATATATGGGAATGCTAATAAAGATTATTGTTATTGTTATTGTATTCGCAATACATTTCTTAGTTCTTGTTAGTATTTCGAACTCACGCTTTTTTGTAATCATGAATTTTGCTTACATTACTTAATTTTGAAGCCATTCTTTGAGGCCACCTATCGCTTTTTGATTAAGTTTTAACAAATATTAAATTATTTGTTGATAAAAAATACTCATTTTAAATGCGTTAATTGTTAATAGTTCTATTAATTAAACAAAATTAATTAAATAAAATTACTTGCGCGAATTCAAAGCTGCGAGAATAAGTCTCAACGAAGTGCGCGAAATTAAATCGCGCGAATTTAAAGTTGAGTGAAAATGAGTACGACGCGAATTTTAATACAAGTAAGGTATAGGGAATCCCATTGTGTTTGCAACCCTTGCACTATTGTGTTTCATTATGGCGGAACTGAATACCTTGGAAGGGTCTATTATATAGTGGTTATCTGCCACAATTATGGAGTTGCACAAGGCAACATGACTCACGCTGAAGTATCTCTTAATCCTGACAGTACAATACTTTCAAAAAGTGCTTTGTTATGTCTGTTATCATGCCAATCTTTTAAGCCTGCCGCACACGAGAGCTATCTGCTGAGCAAAAAGTTACTCGTGCCTGTTAGCTCAGCCGATAGCTCACCGATCAAACATGTTTGATACGTGAGAAAAGGTTGCATGAGGCAAAAAACTCAGTAAAATGTACC